CCTTATTCCTTATGGGAATATGCTTATAAATATGAATACGGCATAATTGGACTATGCTTTATGGGAGATATTTCATGTGAGATATCATTGGAAAGGTTGCATTCCCATTCGTATGCACAGGGCTCGACAATATATGTAATCTACTTGCCCGTGGCGAGTAGATTACATCCCGCAAGAGCCGGGTTCGGGCGATCTGCGCATGTGCAGAACACCGAACAGCGAGGCTGGCGAGCGGGGCTCGCCGCGGCTCAGCGAGCCCTGCGTATTCATGTATCCGTCCTGTGTTTGAAGCTAGAAATACAAAGTATAAGCCTGTCTTACTAATGTAGTCATGCTAAGTGAGGGCCATTAGTAACACTCAAGGAACTTAATGGCTCAATACTCAGGGTAATGGTCTGTGAACAGATTGGTTTTTTCCTATAAACCTGGGAGGAGGGGCTATGCTGGGTCCTTGTACAATGACTCACCACCACAGCACCTCCTGCTGGTCACTCAAGAATTAGTTCCAGCAAGCTCTGGAGTACCCTCTTCTGGCTGGTGTCTTACCTAATATTAGCTATTCATGTGTTAATGGTTCTGCTGCTTTACATTAGGACCCGCACTCCTCCTAGACCATGGTGCCCACCCCTCTCGGTACTGCCCTGCCGCAATGCCCCCACACTCTGGGGCTATGTCTACACTCGCAGTTTCTTGCGTGAGAAATATGCAAATGAGGCTAAGCATGGACTATCGCCAAGCCTCATTTGCATACCTAACGAGCCGCCATTTTTGCAGAAGAGGCGCTTGCGCCAGAAGGAGCTGTCTACACTGCCCCTTCTTGCGCAAGAAAAACCCTCTTGCGCAATGCCGTTATTTCTGAAAATAATTGGCATAGCGGCATTGCACAAGAGGGCTTTTTTTTGTACAAGAAGAGGCAGTGGAGACAGCTCCTTCTGGCGCAAGCGCCTCTTCTGCAAAAATGGCGGCTCGTTAGGTATGCAAATGAGGCTTGGCGATAGTCCATGCTTAGCCTCATTTGCATATTTCTCACGCAAGAAGCCGCGAGTGTAGACGTAGCCTGGAGGTCCTCTCCTTCAGGGAACCCTCTGCCCTACCTTGCCTCAGCGACTCACTGCCAGTTGTCATCTCACCCTTGTACTCCAGGAAAACTGCAGTCTGAAATGACCACTCACCATTGGCAAGAGGTGTGGACCAGCCTTTTGCTGTCCTGACTGCCTCCCTCCAGCTCTAGTCCCCTGAAGCCTTTACAACAAGGCCTCGGCCTGGGAGTTGCCTGGCCAGCTCCCCAGCTCTGCCTGCCCTTTACCCAACCCTGCTCTGTGTCAGGTATCCTCTGTAGCTTCCCTGGCAGCCAGGTCCCTCCTCCCAGATGGAGCAAGAGAGTAAGAGTGTTTGTTCTCCTCTCAGGACCCCTTATTTATATAGCCTGCAGTTGGGCCCTCATTGGCTGCTGTCTGCCACAGCTGCTGGCTCCTCTGCCCCAGCTCTCCCCCAGGACCGGATTTAACCCTTCTTAGGCCAGGACAGAGCAGATGCCCTGTCATAGTTCTATCAATACATGTGGCCATATCACCTAATGCTGGGATCCATCTTGGATGCTGTATTTTTCCACAAGAGCTGAGGGAAAGTTTAGACTGAACGCAAAAGATTCCTGCCTTTTTCAAAAACCTATTTAAGCGTGGCGAGTGAGGTAATCCAGATCATCACTTCTCCCTGGCTACCTCACCCAACATGGCTGCCGGAAACAACTAAGACTCAACTGGGGGAAGAAACTGGGCCCAGGCCGTGATGATGATTAGAACAACTTTGAGGGTGCGATGTTACATGCCACTAGCTTCTTTAGTGCAGTAAGTGTATTAGCTGGTGTTTCTGTTTTATTTTGCTTAGTAACCTACTTTGTTCTGTGTGCTATCTCTTATGACCATTTAAATCCTACCTTTTATACTTAATAAAATCATTTTGGTTTATTAATAAACCCAGTGTAGATCATTGTTACCTGGGAGAGGGGAGCAAGTAGTCTGTGGCTGTGTCTAGACTGGCCAGTTTTTCCGGAAAATCAGCTGCTTTTCCGGAAAAACTTGCCAGCTGCCTACACTGGCTGCTTGAATTTCCGCAAAAGCACTGACTTCCTTCTGTAAGAAATCAGTGCTTTTTGCGGAAATACTATGCTGCTCCCGTTCGGGCAAAAGTCCCTTTTGCGCAAAACTTTTGCACAAAAGGGCCAGTGTAGACAGCTCAGATTTGTTTTGGGCAAAAAAAACGCCCCGATCACAAAAATGGCAAACGGGGCTTTTTTGCGCAAAAGCGCGTCTAGATTGGCGTCTAGAAAGTGCTTTTGCGGAAAAGCGTCTGTGCCAATCTAGACGCTCTTGTCCGAAAATGCTTTTAACGGAAAGCTTTTCCGTTAAATGCATTTCCGGAAAATCATGCCTGTCTAGATGTAGCCTGTGTATAACCCACATACCTAAGTGTCCAATGAAGTGGCACTTAGACCACATACATAAGGCAAGGCAAAGGTTTGGCTGTGGCAGGACAATGGGATGTGCTTGGAATGGGATTGCTTCTCACCAACCATGCAGAAAAGAGAGAGAATCACCAGAACCACCCCTGTCAGGACTGCCCCAAACCGAGCCTCCCAGGCATCCTTCAGGGAGGTTGGGGGAGCTGAAGCGCCCTCTCCCCATTCACATGGGAACAGTGCTAGCTGCTCCCCTTCATCAGGGAGTGAGGGGAAAGTGCACGGCTTGCTGAATTCCTCACTCTGGCTGGGGAGCGCAGGGGGCAGACGAACCTGGACCTGCCCCAGCTGAGGGACATACACCCTTTCTCTGGCTGTGCCCGCTGGAGCTGCAGCGGCCATGGAGAGGCGCTTCTCACCTGGCCCCACACTGCTGCGGTGAGCGAAGGCAGGGGTAATCCTCTCTTCCAGGGCAGCCCTTGTCTCCAGCCCCACCCCAGAGCAATGATATAAATGAAGCGTGGACATTTTCCTTTTTTTTTTCTATCAAAAAACAAAAATTGAGGTAAGGACCCGCCCAACAACGGGGCAAAATCTTCTAGTCTCTCAGAAATGCAAGTATCAAATATTGTGCTATAAAACTGTGCATCAGTGCCAGGGTCAGAAGTTGAGTTATATTATTGATTTCATTGTGGCACATGGCTGTGTATGTAAATACAGTAAAAATGTGTCATGGCCAAGCTTCAAAAGAGTGCGGCCTGAGGGCGGGGTCTGGCAGGTCAATCAGTCTCAGTAGCCCAGTGTTGGCCAATCGCACAGCTGAGTCAGTGTTGGTCGTTGCTTAGTGAAGGCCCATCAGCATCCTGCAACAGCTGTTCTGCCGTGTTACAAGCCGTGATCCCGAAGACGCTGTGCACACAAAGAACTGGTATTGGGTTGGACTTTATCTGGTAAGAGGTTTTAACAACAATGTAAAACGAAACTCACCAATCCTTGTGAGATTAAGACTGTGTATTTACTGCAGTCCGTTACCGGTAAAGTAAAAGTAAAGCCCTGATTTTCGAGTATCTGACTGCTCATGTTAACAAACACCACTTTACACACACATTCCTTTCTGTTGTAGTTGCAAGATTGTGTGATAATAATAGAAATTCCGGCCTGTTTATTTGGTCATTTCGAATGCCAAGTAAATGAAGGTAAAATTTCAGTCTAGATTTCTCATTTTCCCTTAGATTGAATGTGGGAGCAGGGGCAAAGTCATAGTTTGCCTCTGTCGCCGAAAACGGTGGGGCCAGCCCGGGCCGCCCCCATGCTTATGAATTTTCTTGGGCCTGCTGTGATCAAAAGGTGTCTCCTCCTGCTGTGGCAGACACGCCAGACCAAGGGAGAGTTCTCACGTAACTGGATTGGGTTAAAAAGAAAAATGAACTGAAAATCCTGGGGCCGTCGGGGGATGAAGGAGACGGGGAACTAGAAGGCTTTGGCCTGGCTAGTTAGCATCTGCACAGCAAAGACTCATTAGAAGTTTTGTATCCCTCTTCCTTTGTACTCCTCTGGCTGCCTGTTGTATCCAGGCCCGGCCTCAGGGCAAGGCGAGCAATGGGGTTGCCTTGGGCCCGCCCCGGCCTTCAGGGCCCTACGCTGCCCGGTGCCCACTTGCCCTGCCGCTCACTCGCTGCCTGGCTAGGAGCCTTCCGGCCATGCAGTGCAGCCACCCGCCTCGGGTCCTGGAAACTCTGCCCAGGCCTGGTTGTATCCCTTGTCTTACACAGGTTGCACCTCTCTAAACTGGGACTCTGATCCAGTAACATCTGGATGTTCTGGTGGAGGGCTGGCGGCTGGGAGCCCTACGGCCTGCAGGGCATGGACTGAGGCCGAGAGCCTAGTACATGGCCCAGTGAGGCTGCCCAGGGGGGTCCAGGGAGCCCGACGTGTGGCCCAGTGAGGCTGCCTGGGGGGACCAGGTAGCAGAGGAGGAGCAGGCCAGAAAACTGGGAGCCAGAGGGGCCAGTGGCAGGGAGTCCAGAAACGATCTCCCCCTCTCCAGCAAAACCTCTCGTCTGGTCCTGAGAGTGCTGGCCCAGGGAGATCCAAGCTGCAAATAGACTGGAAGCTCCTTGGGGCAGAGGCAGTCTCTTTGTTCTGCGTCTGTCCAGCACCGGGCACAATGGAGCTCCTCGGGGGTACCCCAATACACAGCCTCAATACCAGTAACATCCCAGCCGCCTTTTCACCTTTCAGCTCCCCCCTTTCCCTCCCTGCCCTCCACCCCCTCCCTGGCTCCTAGTTAAAAACAACCACGGGGCTTTTCAGCAGCATTGTAGGGGCTTCACTGACATATTCCCCCCCGCCTTGTTGTCGACATCCCGTATTCTGTGGCAATGCCAGCTCACCTAACAGTAAAACGCTCTGCCCATTATTTGGCTCGGAGGCTTGGGAGTCTGCCCAGCTCACTCCCTCTCTCCAGAGCGAGAGCAATGCCTCTCCTCCTCCCCTAGTCGGCCGGGAGGGCTGGATCTGCAAGTTACACCTCCTGCAACCTTCTCGCTCGCTGCTCGCAACCTGTGCTGCAGGGATTTCAGCCAGCACAAAAATCTCTTCTTGCTGGAACTTCTCGGCGCGTCTCCCCTTCGCCAGCACCATGGATCTGCAGCGCGTGGGGAGCTGCGCGGGGACCGAGGGCTCGGCGGAGAGAGCAGCAAGAGGATAAGTTTCCAGAGCCGTCTCTCCTGCTGCAACAGGTAAGGGCAGGCGGCGCGCTGCTTTTGCAAAGTGAAAATGACTCTGGGCGTCCCCGGGCCGCATGGTCTGGAGGACACGGGGGGAGGAGGGACCAGTCGAGGGTGATTGGGGACGACCTCCTGAAACTCTGCATGCATGTGAGTCAATCGATGTAGCCTCCCATTCCAAACCAGCCCCCCACGCCTCACAATTTACGCTCTAACGATTTATACTCTTAGTGAAAACCAAACAAAAAACCCGACTCACCCAGCAACTTTTGTCGTGCTGCCATCCCTCGCTCCCGCGGTCCTGTCAGCCCCAGGAGGTGGAATTGTGAACTGGTCTAGGGAAAGCTGGGGGACAATACTTGCATTTGCTGCCCCTGGCTCCGGCAAGGCCGTAGCCTTTTCCGTTCACTCCCGTAAACTTTATCAAGAGTGAGGGGCAGCCCAGCACACCTGGCTGATGAACGGTGCACAGCGGCTCAGAACGAGCCCCCTCGGGAATGCAAGGTAAAGAAAATGATTTTAACGACACATTGTGTGCAGCCCGTATCTACCCCCAGCTTTTCCTTGCTGCGTCCCTGTTATGCGACCACCACCTCTGTTGGATCTTGTCCAGTACAGGCAAAGCACTGGCCTTCTTGCTCCCCTGACCACTAATGTCACTTAGGGTCATCAGGGTGGTGAAAATGCCAGAGCCCCTGACACCGTACCTACCCCGGGGCTCCTCCTCCTACTGCCAGGAGGGCTGCAAAGGTGGGAAATCAAGGAAAACGCTGAGCAGAAACGAGGCCTCGGTGTTTGCTCTGCATTCACATAGGGGTGGGCATCTAAACTGTGTGTCTCAATGCATGTTCGATTCTCGGTGCCTTGATGGAGGCCGGAGAGAGCACGCTACACCTAAACTCCCTTAGTGACTGCAGATCAATGGGCGTGCAGCTGTTCTTTCCCCGGCACGCACGCGGCACTGCAGAGAAGGAAGGGAAGAGAGAAAGGAATGCCCAGGCTGGAGATAATATGAGGAAACCCTTAGCAGAGGCAGCGATCGGGGTAATTAACCTCCCAAGGGAATTAAAAGCGGACCAGGGAGAGTGAAGAATCCATAAGGGCAAAGACGACTTCTCCGACAACATTGGTTGCTCGAGATCATTAGAAAACACCTGGCTCCCGGGAGCTTGCTTTTAACAAATGCCCTAGAGATTACAAAAGTCGGAACAACTTTTTCTTCTACCAATGCACAGGCAGATGGACGCTGGCACACACCCTGCACTGAGCTCTGGGGCGTCTGCCAGGGCGGTAGGATAGCTCGCAGTTACCGTGGGGTGTAAAATGGTGGGAAAAGGCATTGTGTCCCCGTTGGGGGAAGGGAGCTGCCTGCACAGGTAGCTGCCTGGTTCCAGCTGCATCATTTGCCATTGAGAAGCTTCATTTCTCCCTGCCAAGCATAGATCCAGGAACCATCCATGCTGCAGAGGGGAAGATGTCGGCTTGCCTGGGCTTTCCCGCTGGCTAGCTGGTGAGGCCAGTCTGGCTGGAAAGTTACTAGCTCTTGAGACTGGCCCTTTACTCCCCACGGCTGTGGAAGGCCGGGCAGTACTGGCATTTAGGGGTGCTGAGCTCACTGGCCTTTTTGTGGTGTTACCTTAATACCCAGCACTTCCCGGCCTATCTGAAAGAGTTCAGGGCACATGGGACTTTGAGGTAAATGAAGGTTGGGGGAGTTACTGTGTAAGCGAACCCATTTTGGATTTTATCCTTGAGTTACACGCTTGTTCCATAGGCTGTCCCTTGTTTGCATCACGCATCACACACACACACACACACACACACACACTCTCTCTCTCGCTCTCTCTTCATCGAGAACGTTTTTAAAAACAAACCCAACCTGCCCTCTCTGCAGCATTTCCCACATGCAAATGGTTCGACTCTGAAGGAACGTTAAATAGGAAGTTTTTGCAGCACCGGCTGCGTCTCCTGGCCCTTTAAGAGCATCACTTTTACAGGGGGAAATGAGTAACGAACTCATCCTGGGAATCAAACATTGATTAGAAGACAATTCATTTTGCATTATGCTCGGGGAACGGTCGGTCTTGGTCCAGTGCAAATCACACAGGAGCCTCACGCCAGCCCGGTGCAACCGAAATGGTAGTTTTGTTGTGTGCATGTGTTTATTTGTGCCCGCCCCTGTGCATATGCGGTGTGTGTCTGTGCATATATCAGGGAGCATTCTTAATTCTCCTCCAGTGCAAGTGCATAACAAGATTAGGAAGCACCAGAACTTTTTTGGAAATGCCAGTGGCCTATTGTCCTGTTAGAAATCTGATTCGCTGAACAAGCAGTCGGTGCTCTCTGCTGCGGTTTTCCTTGGCAGGCGGGCAGGTTTGTGGCAAAGCAACTTTCCTTCCTGGTTCTTGGAAGAAAGAGCCATGCAGTGTTTGAAGAGGGCAGAGCACATTGTGGGGTAAGTGAGGAGGCAGAAAGGTCTGTAGTTAGGAAATGTTACGGCCTGATCATACTTCAGGTCGAAACTGCAAATGTATTCTTCAGTAGATCCTGCCGATATAGTGTGTGTGTCATACTCACCAGGCAAGCAGAGAGAGACTGCATTACAGCTACATCGAGAAAGATACTTACATCTATTACTAAGCAACAGGTAGATGCAGCCAGCGTGTGAATAGCTAGCAGTCCATAGCAATCTGCTCTAGATCAATATTGTAGGTAGATATAGGGGTGGGGGGTCTTTTTTTAACCACCAAAAAAACAGTCGGGGACCACACAAAAGTGAAAAGCAAACAAACAAACAAGACAAAACCTGCTCACATTCCCCTCGCAACATCAGAGCCGGGGGGGGTGGGAGGCTAGTGGATGGATTTTGTAGCCTCCCCACCCCCCACGCTCTGGGGTGGGGCCAGCAATGAGGAGTTACATGTGTGGGAAGAGGGCTTGGGGCATGGGGTCTGGGCAGGAGGGTCTGGGAGAGTGCAGGGATGGGAGGGCTGAGCAGGAGGTAGGATGCAGGAGCGGAGGGGGGTGTGGGGTGGGAGGGCGCCGCAGGGCTGGAGGGGAACCCCAGATCTAGGCAAACTGGGGGCCAAATTTGGCCCCGGGGCCATAGGTTCCCCACCCCTGCTTTATAGGAGGAGTTGTAACTGACAGAGCCCCGTCATTTGCAGGCAGAATCAAACCTGGGACCTCTGGAGCTTAGTGCAGGAGCTTTTACCACGTGAGCTAAAAGCCAGCTGGCTCTCCGCTAAGGCTGCAGAGCAGATCCATCAGTCTCTCCATAGGTGGGCTCAGTGCCACAAGGCAGGCCAGCACACCAAAGCCAGAAGGGTTCATCACGATGTCTTGGTATCGTAAATAGAGCTGATACAATGTCACTAAACCAGCGTGTGACTGTGACAAGCAGCCCATGGTGACTGTCTCCAAACACACCAGTCTCTACAGTAAGCGTCTCCTCCCCACCATATTTGTCACCCAGCCACATGGTGGTTTCTCTGGGAGTAGGGACTGTCTGTGTCATTTGCTTGTCCTGGATCTAGAAATAACTAGTGAGAGCAATAGTATGATAGCCCTGCTCGGGGAGCGGATCTTCCTGCATCTACTAACAGCTTGCAGGACTGGCATTTGTATAGGCTGTCTGGACAGCCACCCCAGTGACTGAAACATCTGCCCCGTGGAATTTTCCACGCACATTTCTGTACCGTGGCTCCCTCGGCACCCACAGTGCGCTGCTGAACTGGTTGACTCGAGTATCTAAACGGATGTTACAAGGAGGGAGAAACGTTATTCCCCTTAGCCCCTTAGGATAGCACAAGAAGCAACGGGCTCAAATTGCAGCAAGGGAGGTTTAGGTTGGACATTAGGGAAAACTTCCTAATTGTCAGGGTGGTTAAACACTGGAATAAATTGCCTAGGGAGGTTGTGGAATCTCCATCACTGGAGATATTTAAGAGCAGGTTAGACACACACCCACGAGGGATGATCTAGACCAGCGGTTCCCAACCTTTTCCAGATGGGGACACATTTTGACAAATCGGGAAGAGTTGGTGACCCAAAGCAATTCAAAAACGAAGGGGGCGGGGAGAAGAGCCACCTGGGGAGACACTTGGTGACCCTTTTGAAATGGAATGGTGACCCATATTTGGGAAACCCTGATCTAGACGGTGCTTGGTCCTGCCGTGTGGGCAGGGGACTGGACTTGATGACCTCTCGAGGTCCCTTCCAGTTCTGTGATTCTCTGATTCTATGACATCCTACTTTACACTCTGATGATAAAGAAGCACCTGGAAGAACCAGTGCAGAGCAGAGAGAGGTGGAGTCAAAGCTGCTGTAGACAGAGCAGAAAGTTGGCTTGATGGGGCACATGTGCCCTGGGACCAGAGTAAAAACCAGCGGGTGGACTGAGTTGCCAAGAAAGAAAACCGGCAGTAGAGAGGGGGCATACAAATGCAATGACAGCCCTGGGAGAGAATCAGAGTTCTCCTGGGAGTCGGTTTGGGATAGAGAGGCTAGGAAGGAAGCGTAACTGCTAGCAGTACGTCTACAAGGCAAGCAGGAGGTGGGTGCAAATACCGCACATGCTACGCCGACCGGAGCGAGCTGCGAATAGCTAGCAGTGGTGGACACTTGGGGTGGGTCTGTACTCTGATCACTTTCCATGCCGGCGCCTGCCCTGCTGCCACGACTCACCTGCTCGGTCAAAGCTGTCTCAGGTATGTCCGCACGTTCACCTCCCAGCTGCAGTGTAGACACCCCCAGGGTTACAGAGCCCTATTCCGGGGCTAGTCCTGCAGGCAGATGCGAACGCTGTGCCTAGAGGGTTGGCAGGAATGATCCCCGAGATGCTCCGCTGTTCCGGACAGATACAAATGAATATGGGCTAGCGGCCGGAGCACAGCGCGACAATGACGGACACAAAAGGGCGGGGTTACCTCCCGGCCATGGGACTTGCAGGGGCTGCTTCGCTCCTCCTCCAGCTTTGGTTTGGTTTGTTTTGAATGTAAGGCGCTTTGAGG